TCGCTTCATGCTACAGAAACCGGGATAAGCTCCGGCCTGATGGGCCACTTGGCTCGCATGCAGACTTTTTGAAGGGGTGGACAGAAACTGGAAGTTACATTATTAAATGAATGCTATAAAAACAGTTTAAAATATAAATGAAAACTTAATAAATTAAAGTGATTAATTGAAAGTAGAAGAAATTCCGTAGGTTTTAGGAGAGTAAAGTTTTCCCTGAATTACTTTTTCGTTTCGGTGTAATACGCGTTGTCACACAGAGCGGAAGTTTCATACTAGGAACTCATGCTCCCCGTCCTCTCCTTCCCTTCAAACCATTCCATAATTCCACCCTCGCCCGGGCCATTGTATATACACTCACCCATGTTGGAAAACTTTATTTTAGTATCTCGAAATGTGAAAACTAGTTTCTTATTATTGACCAAAATTAGAAGTTATCTCTATTTGACTCTCAAATTTTACGACAAAATTAATTGTTACAGAACTCACCGCTGTCTTATTCTTTGTGTACCCTTGAAAAACTTGCCGAACCCCACTGGCAATCTTGGTATTTTGTCATTCACATATGACTCGCACGGTGGTCACTATCACCATTACTATTCATTTGAGTGCTATTAAATATGTTCATACCTTAATTATCATTTTTATTCCTCTTTTGTGTCCACAGCAAGAATGATCGAACTTAGCAACGTACCTTTCTGTAGGAAACAAATGGCTTCAAGACTGAGACGTTGCCATCCAGAAAATTGGCTTTATAATTATTTGATCCGCCAACGTCACTCCACTTGGTGGGTGAGAGATTGCAAGTACAACCCGCAAACTTTTTCCATGATGTGTGAGGGAATTGAGCACATGTTCAATAGCATTATTTGCTTCACAATTCGTTGTCCTTAAATGAATTGAAATGTCCTGTCGTGAACGAAATTGTTCAAGATTGACTGCACACGGAGAAATAAAATACAGCTTTGAAAACTCACCTTGTTATTTTGTTAAAATTAATTTGTCGAGAATACGGAAAAGCATCATCGTTCCTAGGGATTTTTTATCCCTTAAACTTTTTCAGAACAACAAGCAAAGTGGTAGTGGCAAGTTTTACTTGAAAAATGAATTCTTGGTCACCCCAGCTGGCGAATCTATCTGCTCTCCACAGATTACGGAACCAAAAAGGGGGAAAAAGAGAGAAAAAGAAAAACAGTGAAAAACTGCTTGGTAACGCGGCGCCGACATTAATTTAGCATCCCTTGACGCTGCCGTGGTGAGGATACATAAAACGCACGACATGTCCGTAGTAAAATATATCACATGCACAATACATCGCCTGCTTTACTGCCAAATCAGGGAACCATAAATCGCTCTATATACATCTTGCATAATATCAGGCATTTTGATCTCACCACAGAGATATATATCATGTGCATTATGTAACCAATAATCTCTGCTAGTCGCCGCAAAAACCATGCTATGATATTTGTCTACAGACTTTGATATCTGTCAATCTTAAGATACTAAGTAGATAGTTAAAAGGAGAGCAAATTGTAATGAGTTTTTCAGCAATGTTTTCAAGATTTGAATAGGTCAACCAAGCTCATTCTTTACAACGTTATACCACGTTCCGAAAAGGCGGAGTGCGGACTGCGGAGTGCAGAGGGTAAAAAAAAAATTAGGAAAAAAAAATAATAGAAATAAAGTAAAATTTGAGAGGGAAATGAGAAAATAATTAAATACATAAATAAACTAAAAATAGAAATTAAAGAAATATTAATTTAAAAATTCATGACGTCCGAATTGGACCGTTCATATCGTGGTCATTTTATTCAGTCAAAATAGTATATTCAAATAACGATTTTTATAGTTAGCAGTTCACGTTTACGAAAAAATAAAGAACAGTCCAGTTTTCAGCGTTTCTAGAAAATGACACAAATCCTGCACATGAAAACTATGAAAATCGTGCTGAATGAAATGACCGTGATATGAACGGTCCACTTCAGGCGGCGTGAATTTTTTTATTGATATTTTTTAAAACTTCTATTTTTAGTTTATTTATGTATTTAACTATTCTTTCAATCTCCTTTCAAATTTTATTTTATTTCTATATTTTTGAATTCTTTTTTTATATATATATTTTTTTATTTATTTAGTTTTTTTTGTTGTTTTTTTTTAACACTCCGCACTCCGCACTACGTACGTACTACGCGTTTTCGGAACAGCTTCCCATATGAACAAAGGACAAAATTCGTCCCGGTTACCGGGCTCATAGAAGAGGCCCTTAGTAAGCCTCTTCCAGGCCTTCAGTTAGTTGGGGCACAGCGCGAAAATCGGCGAGCGAAAAAATAGAGGAGAAGTGCTTTCTCTCGCCGCGTTTCTCCACTATGTTTTCGCTCGCCGTTTTTCGCGCTACGCCTCAATTAGCTGAATGCCTGGAAGAAGCTTAACTTATTCCTAGTTCCCCATGTTTCAATTATTTTCAGACCCAAATAAATTTCAGGGCGTGAATAGCATCTTTTAGGATATTGTTTCTTTGTTTTGCGTTTCTTTGTTTCTCTGTGAAATCAAAATTATTTCTGTCGTCCCGGTTTCTGTCGCTGATCGCTTCACTTCGTTCCAGTATTCACAAGTAGAGGAAGTAGAAGAAGATACTTTATTTATGTGTCAGTTGATCTAGCTCCTAAGTGACAAGGAGCTAATTGGGGACACAGTATATCAAAAATTAAAATTCAAAATAGATACAATAAGAATTACCAAAAAATATACTAATAAGAACTACAGTAATTTTAAAATGTAATAAGACACTAAGATGCAATGTAAAATGCATTACGAAAATTATGAAATTAAAGAAAAAATAAATGTGTCAGCTGTCATAAAGCATATACAAGCAGTTCTGTTGCTACATTCCCATGATCGCCATGCTTCTACTTGTTTAGTCACTGTGCCGGCATTCATTCTCTCGCTGAACGCTGCTGTCCAAGGTATTTGCTGTTGTATTCAAAATTAGTTCTGTCAGTGGTCGTCCCACTTCAAGCGTTTTGTTGCTGGATTCCAAGTTATTTCTGCCGCTGGTCGCTTCGCTGCGAGCTATTTTGTCACTGAACCGCTATTCAACATTATTTCTGTGGCTGGTCACTTCGCTCCGAGCTTTTGTTTCATTGAGTTATTTTCTAGGCAGATCGCTACTCTTAGGGTTAGAGTTGTTTCATCCGCGCTGCGAATAAACTTCTGTCGCAGACCCTTCGAAAACACCAAGAAGCGGCCGTCATTTTGGTAACAAGCGCACACTGCTACGCTACTCACTATCTATCACAGAATAGATGGTGAGTAGCGTAGCCAATCAAAGAACGGCATTCGTGATAGAACGCTAGTAGATTTATACTAAAGCGGGATAGATACAGTGCGTAGCGTAGCCAATCAGAAAAAGGCATTCCTGATAGAACACAAGTGGTTTGAAACTAATTTCTGATATATCTCAAACTTTAAAAGAATTTAACTTTAAAAAACTTTATTTAACTTGAAAGGAATTATTAACTTGAATTATTAACTTCAACTTTAAAAGAATTAAATGAAACTCCTCAAGAAACTTTGAAATTTTTTTCTTAAAATTGAATATGACTGAATTTGTGACTGAATTTGTGACTGAATTTATGACTGAAATTTATGAAAACCGTATTAAGACTTGGCACCAAAACAGCCATATGCACTTTGATTTCAGGCACACCTCCAAAAGGCCTTAAAAACACTCGGAGCGATGAAGAAAAACAAAACAAAACAAAACAAAACAAAACAAAAAACAAAAAAGAGAGATAGAGATGAGAGCAAGAAAAGGAAGATAAGAAAGTGGAGGAGACTGACATTCCTTTTAGTTTTTATATCGTCTACTTTGGAGATAAAAAAATAAATAAAATAAATCCAGACACATAAATTATTAGTTTTATTTATTTTATTCTATTTTTGTCCTTGTCGACTCTTGTATACTCTTGTAATATAATTTATTCACAATTACTTTTACATTGTGGCTGAAAAGCCCCTATGGGGGGAGCTTCAAGAAACGTATGTGTGTATGTAAACTTGCTTTATACTATGGTAATTTTTTGTCATCGAATTCTGGAAAATGACGCTACTCCGGGCCGGTTTTCAAAGGGCCAGGAAAAGGTTTTTTTGTTTTCAATTAATTCTCTGAATAAATGGCATGTTTTTAGGCCATATTATCGCCAGTTATCGACCATTCTGGCCATTTTTTGGTGAACTGAAACAACGAAGCTGCCAAATATCACTATATAGTGATACTAACGCCTGGGGAATGAGTTACCGCCCTCCATTCATGTCCAATACACCCAACTAGAGTCGATTCGTCTGAGGCACTTGACGATTAGACTCGATTCGCACGGAGTCGTGAAATAATGATATATAAACGTTTCTCGTTCTTAAAACGTGACTACAAACTTGAGTCGATTCGTGTGAGGTACTTAACGATTCGNATTAGACTCGATTCGCACGGAGTCGTGAAATAATGATATATAAACGTTTCTCGTTCTTAAAACGTGACTACAAACTTGAGTCGATTCGTGTGAGGTACTTAACGATTCGACTCGATTCGCTCCGATTCGCACGGAGTCGATCCGCACCACCTGAAGTCAAGACTCCGTGTCCCGCGCACACCTGAAGTAACACTTACTGTTATGCAAATACGTAGAATTTAAGCACGTACCCTAGCCGGAAACTTGCATTGTTTGAAATTTAAAATTAATGACACTGTTTTATTTTGTCATGCGCGTATCAGCTCACTTAAATTTTCAAATCTAATTTCATAACGGACTCGAACTGCTCTGCAGCGGATGAACAACCCTTGAACGAAGTTTGGACAACTTTGCATCGCGTTAAGTTCACTGTTAACCGCCACGATGAGGTTTTAAAGAACGGAAGAATATGCTCCATAGAGACTGTTACTGCAAGATTTGCTTGAACACTGAGCAAGATCCTCCACTTCTCTGAACAACTTCGACATGAGAGTTGATCTCAAAGTTATTAATTACATTCTGGGTCTGCCATTCTTAGAGTTTCCAGGATTTCATAACTGTACTTTACCAGCCTTCGCCATCAGCCGGCAAACTGTGATGAAATGATACATTTTCTTTCGTCGATGTTACTTTCTCATAAAACCTTTGTACATAGCTATCAACATACATACATACATACACGCACAAATACATATACACTTTATTTCAACTCGAATTATCAGAGTAGCTTATTGAGCTAATATCTTCGAGAAAGAAAAATATACATATTATATATGTATCTGATTAAAACTGCAGACACCTTGGCTCGCCAAGGGTGGCTTTACCTCGCAAAGTTTGAGCATGCTGGCAATCTTTGGCCTGGTGTACACCGGTAGAAGGCTGATCCTGATTTTTCAAAGACATTCTGATTTCTCTTGTTGGTCACCTTATGAATCATGTGACTTTTCTTGTACTGCTGCACATTTTCCACGCGAATTTATTTGCAAAAGTCCTTTCGCAGCATTTTTGTGGGTACCTTTATTTTATCCTACTGGCTCGGTATTTACCAAAAAATTATTCCCCTCAACATCGGTGGCAAGTAATGAAATTGGATAACTTATATAATGACGACGGTGACCCAGAGGACAAAGCTTAGTAAAAAATGAATTTGCATTTTACCTTCGAATTTCGCAATTGTCTAGATCTGTTCCGTTCGCCTATCGGGCTTAAAACTTGCTCAAGCTAAATATGTAACGCCAGCGTTCAATTCCAAATGAAAATAAGAAAAATTAGTCGCCGTCATTCGTGTTCTCCAAAATACGCAGAACTTAGTCATTTCACGTTGTTTTGCGTAGGATCGCAAAGAAATGTATAAAGATTTATAACGCAGATGCACCGAGCCATTGTTCTACTCGTTAAACCTTTTGTTTGGTGGCGTTCTCGTTCCTGTTGCCGTCGTAGCTTACTTAAGCTATTTAATGTTGGCGTC